GCCAAAGTGATTTGTGACGTGACCCAACGACTTACTGATTCCAATTTGAGGAATAACTTTGGCAGAAGTTTAGCTTTGGATGATAGCTTTTTTCTAAAAAAAATTTTTTTTGAATGAGTCTGTTGTTGCTCGATGTCTTACAGTGAATTTATTGCTGTTTTTATGTACCACACTTTTGTCTATCCATGCCTATGTGTATGCGTGTGTGTGCGATTTCATTTGTCTTGAAATCCTCATCCCTCACCGGGAAAAATCCTGAGTCTCACGCTTAAAGTTCATTCAGAACATATTTATACAGGGTTGTGGCAGAGTGTGGGTGCAGGGTGAAGCAGAACCACTCGTAGTTTTTTACACGAAATCCGGGATGTTATTACGACTGTCCCATTCACTGATGCTCACTTTTTTAATCATTCCTTTGTGCTTGTAAATGATCACTGTTTTTTCTTCCTTGTTTGATTCCTTCAAGTACACATATTTTCTGCCTATCAAGGAACCACTGCAGAAAACTCAGGTTCGAGCATTTTTGTTTCATTATTGTACCGTTCAATGTGGCAAATATAGTACTACAAAACACGAAATCGGGCTTACACATCTTGTCGAGGTCTGATAGAACATAGCAGTGGTTTCGTGCTATACCGATTCAGCCAACGTTCAGAAAAGAGGTCATACTTACGCACCGGTGCAATGGGCGCAACGTGTAAAGTGATGTAAGATAAACCTGAAAGGGGGAAAAAGCCTCGATGATCACTTGTAGGTTTTAGCCGGTGACTGGACAGCAACAGGCAACTAAAAATCAGATAGAACAATGCGGTTCTGGGACGAACTTAACTTGTATTTCGTTGAAATTATTTAAAAAAGTGAATTCTTTGCTTATACATAAGCTGATCTTAGATTTATTCACATGAACCAGCAAGAAATGAGTAATTAAGCTTTTACCTGCAAGCGATACTATATTGAAATAATATTTTCGGAACTAGGAATTAGCAACAATTCATCTGAGCACGATGCTGAAAATGCTACTTATCAATTAGTAGCAGAAACTTGTACTAATATTATTATACGACATATTAACATACATAATCGGTTCAGCATTACACTTTTGAAAAAAATAAGGTACTTCCTTTCCTTTATGCTATTCCTAAGCTACATAAAAACCCTTATAAATTCCGTTTCATTACTGCTGCTATTAATTCTAGTACCAAACCGTTAGCACAATTGCTTCATCGAATCTTACAATTTTTCCGTAATCATTTCGAAAATTATTGCAATGTTATGTATAACAAAACTAGACGAGACACATTTTTTAGTATAAAAAATTCTTATAAGGCTATAGATTACGTCAGGGGATTTTTCAACACTTTTTACTAAACTTTCTCATGATACAAATTACAGTTAAAATTTTTATGTGAAGTTTGTTTCAAAAATTCCAAACGAGACTGCAAATATTATTATTTTTTAATACTATTCTCATGTAATTTTATCCTGCGAATACTTTTGCATATAAGTGTGATTGTATGTGATAGTTGAAATAAAGTATCCCTTGTTTCTACTTTGATCTATTTTGTCTACTACCCTGCATTTTCCGTACCTCACTTACCAGGATTAGTAGATACACGTCATTCTTCACTGCACGTACCTTCGTGCCCTTTTCCTTTTCTTTTACTCTTCTTTTCCTTTTTTTACATAATTTTATAATTTCTTTTTTCCCCGCATATTTCCCTTTTCCATTACTATTACTCTTCTTACTTCTAATTCGATGTTTTTATCTTAACTAATTTATATACCTTACTGGATTATTATGTTACCACAATCGTCGTACTGACGAGGTCCAATTATGGTAACAGTAAGAAATGTATACGACTTAATGGACCGAAATATTTCTTACCTATAATAAAACTATAACAAAAATTTTTTTTATATACCCCTTGTCTATCTTAATATCCTTTTCTTTTCATTGTTTTCTTTTAACCTTTAATAATGAGTATACGCAGGAAACGGTAGGAGAGTAAATGTACGCAGAAAGTGGACACATCTGTGAAATGCAATCATTCTCAGCGCCCCCATGTGGGCCCGTGCGATCATGTGTTTTTGCACAGTGAGATGGCTTGGACAAGATGCTCCTGTCTCATTCTTCTTAGTTTAGGTGTATTTTGGATACGTTTCACTAGCTATCGGTGATAAGGCTAAGTTGCATAATCATTGGGAGCATAGCCCGTATGTGTGGTGTGATGTGAGGTGTAGAAGCCCGAAATGAAATTTATCCATCTTGCTGAATTTGATAGCTGAAATTAGTCCACTATGAAGTAACTATGAAGAAATGACATGAACGAGGATTTCTTTTCACCTTTGTGAAAAAAAAAGCGAGACAAGTAACCACCGTGTAGAAAATCGGCATCCTAGCAGATGTTTAGGAAGAAAAGACTGCCCACAGCAAGTAACATTTAATATATCCAACCATGAAGCATGAGCGTGAAGCCAGTGCCAGCTTTATGCATACGGGTTCGCAGAATAATGGATATCTTCTCAAAAGTATATACAGCAGCCTATGTAGAATCGCGAGTTGTTAAATGGATGCCAACAGTGCTCCTACTGAAAGTACCTCCTACTCATATGCAACAACTAAACTAAGATTTAAAACCAGGCTGGAACGCACCGGGCGGGCCCGTGCGATCATCCATTTTTGCAGCGGATTTGAAGTACTCAGGTCATTGACTTTCTGAATGGCTTTGCTTTACACTTACCTTTTGCGGCCACTAGCATAAATCACCATAAATTTTGCAAAGTAAATGTACAATTTCCAGTTAACAGTCGTTCTTTACAAGTAATCTTGTTGTTCAGTAAGAAATTTCGCCAAGACTTTAAGTGTACGTAAAAAACACCCACACCTCAAGCTGAATCTGAAATACTTAAACTGTACTTGGACAGGGAACATTCTCCCAAAATTTTAGCTTTCCAGCTTTTCTGATCACCGCGTTAGTGATTTTCCCGCCAAACCTTCACATGCTCGTACGTGGGCATTACACATGCCTGGAAAGCTGAATTTGAAATTTTTAAATTACACTTGGACAGGGAATATCCCCTTAAAATTTTAGCC